TTTCTCCTAGTATACCTAATTCTCTCTTCCAGAAGCACACTGTTATTCAAAGTCATCCCTCCTCCATTTCATAATTGTTAATTCCTTGGAACAAGCTACTTGGATCTTTGTCCCAGCACTTAGAACTTTGTCCCAGCATTTCGACAACCAGATTTTTGTTCAACCATTTTGACATTTGGCAACATTCTATGAAGATATTGAAATTCATCAATTTTGCTATTTGTAATTTACATTCATTCTGTCATGTTTTCCACCAAACACCTTGGCCTTTTTTTTAGAGACAGAAAAACATGCAGCCTTCACTTAAACGTCCATATTCTCCGTAAACTTTTATCTATACATTTTCTAATGATGTATTTTTGTCCAGTGGTTTCATCAAAGGAAAGATCTGCTAGCTGGTCCTCTTCATTTGTTGTTATTCAGATTTATTTGACTATTTGGGATTGAAGAAACTGCCAAACATAGAAAAATCTTCTCTTAGACCGTGGAACCACTTTGCAGAATGCAGGTAATCCTTGACTTTTGAATCCAATTGAGCTGAAAATTTATTTTGTGAAGGGAGTTGTGCCTCATTTTACGACCTTTTGCTACAGTTGTTAAGCTAATCACTGCAATTGTTAAAGAAATCATGCAGTTATTAAGGGAATTTGGTTTCCCTCATTGACTTTGCTTGTTGGAAGTCAGATGGGAAGGTTACAAAGGGTGATCACATGACCCCAGGACAGTGCAACTGTCATAAATTCATGCCAATTGCCAAGCTCCTTAATTTTGATCACATGATCTCGGGAATGGTGCAATTGTGGTAAGTCTGAAAAACAATCATAATTCACTTTTTTTCAATGTCATTGTAACTTTAAATCATCGCTAAACAAATGGTTGTAAGTCAAGACTACCTGTACTTTCAGCTTCCTTGGGAAAAGACTGAAATACAAAGAGCTTAGGTGAATAAATCTTTTTATAAATAAAGGTTTAAAATCTAAAGAGTACTTTAGATCTTCATCTTCTAAGTGCATCTGTGTATTGTGAATGAATATTTTAATTTAAATAAGTATTATTATTTACAATAATATGTGGTCAAAAGATTGTTTATAATCTAAAATGGGTAATAAAAAGCTTAGCATTGTTATACAGATATTTCATCACCTCAGCCACATCAAAAATGTAATCTAAAACAGAAAAATCTTGGGAAGTGGAGCTCATCTAAATGATTAAATGACTTAAATGAGGGAATTGAAGGGGAACTCATCAAATTTGCAGATGACACCAAACTGACAAGAGTAGCCAACACCCCAGAAGACAAACTCAGAATCCAAAAAGATCTAGACAGACTTGAACAATGGGCCCTATATAACAAAATGAGTTTCAATGTGGAGAAAAGCAAAGTTTTACATTTAGGCAGGAAGGTACAAGTACAGATTGGACGAGATCTGGCTCAAAAACAGTAACTGTGAGAGGGACCTTGGAGTCCTAGTGGACGATCATTTGACTATGAGCCAGCAGTGTGCAGCAGCAACCCAAAAAGCTAATACAATTCTGGGTTGTATAAACCGAGGCATAGAATCAAGACCATGCGAATTATTGGTACGGCTTTATAAAACCCCAGTAAGACCACCTGGAATACTGCAGTCAATTTTCACCACCATATCACAAAAAAGATGTTGAGAGTTTGGAAAAAATCAGAGAAGAGCAACTAAGATAATCAAAGGCCTGGAGACTAAAACATATGAAGAATGGCTGTAGGACTTGGGTTTGGCTAGTCTAAAGAAAAGAAGAAATAGGAGAGACATGATAACAGTATTCCAGTATTTGCCACAAAGAAGAGGAGGTCACATTATTCACCACAGCACCAGAGGGCAGGACAAAAAACAATGGTTGGAAACTGATCAAAGAGAAAAGCAACCTGGAATTAAGGAGAAACTTCCTAACAGTGAGGACAATTAACCAGTGGAACAGCTTGTCTTCAGAAATTGTGGGTGCTCCATCACTGGAGGTTTTTAAGAAGAGACTAGACAGTGGACAAGGACAGAAAACTTAAAGACTGGCAAGATTTACAACAACAAGGTATCGATTTAGCATGGTGGCCTTATTTGCAAATCCAAACAAGATACGAGAAAGATGCAAAGACAATGGGATTCTATAAAGCTCAGACACGACCAAATACTTTTGAAAACAGATGAAAATTTGATTAAGAAACTTCACAGATTTCTTTTAAACTGGAAGATGGAAGAAGAACAAGTAAAAGAAACAATGATAGTATGGGTAAAAAACTTTGGATATTCTATAGATCTAGAACAGTGGTTCTCAACCTTTCTAATGCCGCGACCCCATAATACAGTTCCCCATGTTGTGGTGACCCCCAACTACTTATACATCACCAGGTGCCAGGGGCGTGGCCAAAGAAAAGGGGGAAAAAATGGCGGACAGCCTTGTTTGGCGACCCCCGTGAAATGGTCGTTCGACCCCAAATGGGGTCCCGACCCACAGGTTGAGAACCGCTGATCTAGAAGATTGGCAAAAGCTATGGGACAGGAACATCAAATTTACTAAAACAGCTTCATATAAAGAAAATTTATATAAAATGTTTTATAGATGGCACATGACACCAGTAAGACTAGCCAAAATGTTTAAAAATGTTTTGAATAATTGTTGGAAATGTAAACAAAAGCCAGGTACCTATTACCATATCTGGTGGGTGTGTCCTAGTGCAAAAAATGAAAATACACCATCTGATGAGATCATAATTAGGAAAATCTTAGAATGTGCAGAAATGGACAGATTAACTTTAGAAATTAAAGAGAAAGAAGACTCAGTCTATTTTAAATCATGGGAAAATTTTTACCAATGGTTAGCAAAACAAACTAGCGAGAAATGATGGTGAAATTTAACAAGATGAATGATATTTACAGATTAATTGATATTCTTTACGATCACTGTTATTTTTATTGATTATAGCCATTTACTATCATATTAATTATTGTTATTGAATATTTGCATCCGGACAATAGTCTGCTTGCTAAAGCATGGAAATTTTACTGGGGGTAACCCCATTGTTGTATCTACCCTTATCCCAACTCCATCCCTAAACCCTACCCTGAACCCCAATACCCATATTGACCCTATCCCTCCCCTACTTTGATAAAACCTAATAAAATATTAATAAAAAAAGAAGAGACTAGACAGTCATTGTCTGAGATGGTATAGGACTAGAAGACCTCCAAGGTCCCTTCCAGTTCTATTCTATTCTATTCTATTCTATTCTATTCTATTCTATTCTATTCTATTCTATTCTATTCTATTCTATTCTATATAAATTGGAAGAGGCTACATAATACCTAGAGCAGTGATGGCGAACCTATGGCACGTGTGCCAGAGGTGGCACTCGGAGCCCTCTCTGTGGGCACGCGTGCTGTTGCCTCAGCCCTGCCTCCCCCCGCAATCCCCTCCTCACCAACAGCCTGCCCGGGGAGAGGCTCCCCCAGCCGTGGCCCACGTGAAGCAGCGCAGCTGAGCACATGGGAGCCGGGCAGCAGGGGCAAGACTCCGCCCTCACGCCCCATCATGTGCAGATGATGTGGGGTGTGGGCCGAGGGCGTGGCCGTCATGGTGCTGTAAGGCTGTCTGGGTGATGTGTGGTGAATGGCCCTGCGGGTGGGCGGAGCAGGGAGTGGGCCGGTTTTTGGGCACTAGGTCTCTAAAAGGTTCGCCATCACTGACCTAGAGCTTTGTACCAATATTTGAACTCCTTGCCTTTTGTACAACCATTCTGAAATCTTTAACACCATTCTACCAAGCTATGCTAAATCATATTGTTTATTGGCTTTAGTTTACGGATATTTATGTATATTTGTTATAAATCATTATCTCATATTCACCACCAAATATGACTACCTTGGCACACACAGAGAAAAACACAGAGAGAGAATACTTTTATTGCAATCACTGACCAGCAAATTAAACAGCTACATAAAAGTCTCAACAAGCAGAATGCAATGAGAGCAATGGCATGAAGTCTTGAGCAAGCATGAACAGCATGTCCAAAGAGAACACCATGTCTATAATCTAAAAGATACTGAAACATCAAGATGAATTATTTTACTACTGTGCAGTGAATACAGATATCAGAATAGTAAAAATTAAACCTATTGAATAGGAAAAAATACCACATTAATTAATAAAAATATTTTGGGGACAGAAATTGAGGCATCAGCAGAATGCTCTGTCTATTTTTATTTTTGATCTTTTTGCAATTTGTATTAAAAATTCATTTTCACAAATAAATATTGAAGAAAAGGGCGCAGCTTTCAATATGTTTCATGTAAAAGTTCATATTCTCTGTGAACATTTATCTATACATCTAGTGATATACTTTTGTTCATTAGTTCATCTGAGGGGAGATCTGCTAGTAAGTCCTCTTCATTTTTGTTTATTGAAATTTTTTCATCTGTTGAAGTTGAAGAGACCCCCCCCCCCAAACACACACACAAAAAATTCTCTTAGATCTTGGAACCAATTTGCAGAACACGTTCAGCTTCCCAGGAAAACACTGATGCTCAGGCTTAGGGGAAGAAATCTTCTTGCAAACAAATCTTTACTTTAGGCCCTCATCTTCTTAGTGCATATCTATATTGTGAATGGATTGTTAATTTAAATTATTGTTATTATGTGGTCAAAAGATTGTTTGCTCTTACATGGGTCATAAAAAGCTTAGCATTTTTATACAGATATTTCTCCCAATTCACGATTTCTGCCCCACCAAAAATGTTGTCCACACTAACAAAACATTTAGGAATTGGAACACATCTAACTAAATTAGAATGTATTTTTCCTTATGACCGTTTTGTTGCTTCAAAAAGAATCGTTAGATTGGCAAATTGGAGGAAGAATTTTACAATGACAATAGGTTTCTATCCTACTTTGCTTCATCTGTCACTGTGTCACAACTTCCCAAAATGGTATAAATTGGGGACTGCAGCTTTCCTGTGAAAACACTGGAAGAATATCTGTCTTTGGGTCCCTTGGAAAGCTAACTGGGTTGTCCCTCCTAATTCAACTATGAAGATTCTTCATTTCTTCTTGGCTGGTCTCTCTGTGTTCCTTCTGATTTCAGCAGGTAAGGAATAAGAAGACAGAGAGGGAGGGAGGGAGGGAGGGAAGGAAGGAAAGAAGGAAGGAAGGAAGGAAGGAAGGAAGGAAGGAAGGAAGGAAGGAAGGAAGGAAGGAAGGAAGGAAACCTCTGTCTTTGAGGGCTGCCCAGTCAGATCAAAAGTCAAGAGAGTGAAATGATCTATGTACAATTAGCAACACCTTGGCCACAAACCAAGTGGGTGCCACCTTCTAATGATCCTCTGTTAGGTTAATATTTGTTTTATTTCTCTTTCTATCTAAATTGCTGTAAAAGAATTCTGTTTTACTCTAAATTTCTCCTTTTTCATATCAGTGATTGGGAGACAATTATTTGGAGAGAGAGGGGGGAGGGGGAGGGGGAGAGGGAGAGAGGAAGGGAGAGAGAGGGGGGGGAGAGAGGAAGGGAGAGAGAGAGAGAGAGAGAGAGAGAGAGAGAGAGAGAGAGAGAGAGAGAGAGAGAGAGAGAGAGAGAGAGAGAGAGATTTCCTCTTTGACTTGAGGAGGGAATTGCTATGTGCAATGGCCAGCCTGCCTTTGTATAGGGAACATTTTTACAAAGCTTCAAGACAGCATTCCATTGTAATCCCAATACAAGAAAACAGGTGGTCAGGCAGCAAGCTGTTTTTTCACCACAAAACCAACCACACTGGGAAGCAACCCTAAGTTGCAAATTGCTGATTCTTAGTGGCAGACCACAGGCATCCATGCTGGAGGAAGGGCCACATGCAGGAGACTCACAAATGTTGGGGTTACAAAAGGTTTCCACACAAGTGAAACTTCTGTGGCACAACAGGCTTGGCTTTTTGGCATGGAATGAAAACTGATGAAATGGTTTTTTTTCTTCTCAAGATGAACCTGTTTACAACAACTCTCAACCTGGAATTTTCAATCTCCACCATCCACATATTATTTGATACAGTAAACTTTTACCTCTTAAGCTTAGCTTTTCTTAATATAAGAGCCCACAAAAAATATTTTATAGGGGGTAGTTCTGGTTCTATGAGAATTAAATTTCTCCTTAGAGCTGTGATTAAGAACAAAATTCTGCAAATTTTGGGCTGTGCTTCATTTGAACACAGAATTTCATGGTCTTAACATTACAAACTTGAATTATTTCAAATCGTTCCTCTCAGTATAAGTTTCAGTCTTCTCTTCCAAATCTCACAAATATGAAGACAAATAAAAAAATGTCATCTTCTCCCAATATGGATGATGATCAATGGCATGTGGGGAGTTGTATATAATAATATTAATATTAATGATGATGATGATGATGATAATGATGATGGAAGGGACCTTGGAAGTCACTATAAAGGTGAAATCTTCCCAATGTTAGCTTACACTTTGACAACGTTTTATATATATATAAAACCGTCCATTTTGAATGCTTAGTGGAAAGAGGAAACTTGAGAGTTCATAAGGTTGATGCTATATGGAACAAAAATGTTAAAAGCATAATAATAATAATAATAATAATACTAAAGTTGGAAGGGACCTTGGAGGTCATCTAGTCCAATCCCCTGCTCAGGCAGGAAACCCTATACCATTTCGGACAAATGGCTGTCCAGTTTCTTTTTAAAAACTTTCAGTGTTGGAACATTCACCGCTTCTGGAGGCAGGTTGTTCCACTGGTTAATTGTTCTAACTGTCAGGAAGTTTCTCCTTAGTTCTAGGTTGTTTCTTTCCTTGATTAGTTTCCATCCGTTGCTTCTTTTCCTGCCTTCAGGTGCTTTGGAGAATAGCTTGACTCCCTCTTCTTTGTGGCAACCCCTGAGATATTGGAACACTGCTACAATGTCCCCCCTCGTCCTTCTCTTCGTTAAACTAGACATACCCAATTCCAGCAGCCGTTCCTTATATGTTTTAGCCTCCAGTCCCCTAATCATCTTTGTTGCTCTTCTCTGTACTCTCTGTATGAGCTATGACAACTTAAAAGATATCAGAAAAGAGTATATCCCAGGCTGGTGTCCTCAAGTTCATATAAGGTTGGGCCAACAATTCCCACTAAAGGAAGACAGACCGAGAACTCTGGGAGTTGTAGTTTAACATATTTGAACAGCACCCAGCTTGGCTTGCTGGTCAGTGCTTCAACAATTAAAGTTGTTTCTCAGAGAACACTGGAGTTGCTCTGTTTAACAACAGAGTCATTACTCATCTCTAGATTTTCTGCATTAAGCAGAGGGTTGAACTAAATAGCTCTCCACAACTCTCCAATTTTATGCCATAAAAGAAAAGAAAATCCTTTATTTTACAGAATAATAGAGTTGGAAGAGAACTTGGAGGTCTTTTAGTCCAACCCACTGCTCAAGCAGGAGACCCTGTACCATTTCAGAGAGGTTGTCCAATCTCTTCTTTAAAAATTCCAGTGTTGGAGTATTCAAAATTTCTGGAGGCAAGTTTTTCACCAATTAATTGTTCCAACTGTCAGGAAGTTTCTCCTTAATTCCAGGTTGCTTCTCTCCTCGATTATTTCTATCCATTGTGTCATGTTCTGCCTTCAGGTGCTTTGGACAATAACTTGATTTCCCCCACCCCCACCACCTTCTTTGTGGCACAAACAATGCCATGCTTAAAGAAAAGCCATTTGTCAGCTGACTTTGACAATACTAACATTTGTGGATGATTAAAAAAATCATCATTTCATCTCAAGCAGGCTTAATGGCCACAAAATGCTGAATTTACATTTGGGGAAGAGAGAAAATGGGAAAAAAGAGAGAAAAGAGGAATAGCATGAAGTGTTTTGGTGGAGGGTACGGTTCACTGAGTTTAAGTACTGCATCTTGCAACATTCCGTCTTTCTGTGTTTCTGTCCTAGGTCTTTCCTGACTCCCACCCAGCGACAGCTCCTCACATCCCATTGGCAGCCTCAAAAACCCTCATTCATAACAGGAAGGAATGATATTTTCTTATTTGCCTTCTTATTTATGCAAATTGTCTACATCTTCCAATGTTCTGCAAAAGTTCTCTTGCAAGTCTCATTGATGGTTCCTCTGATTCTAATGCATGCTAATTAAGCAACAAAGAATTCTTTTTAAACATGTCTCTACATTTCTGTGCAGGCTATGCCTCCAAAAAACCAAAAACTACCAGGGAGTGCTACAGCCTAAATGGTACTTGCAGACTGCGGTGCAAGTCTAAAGAGAGAAAACATGGAAAGTGTAATCATGTTCGGCGATGTTGCATCAGGTAATTTTGTGCCATCATTTGGCAGAACCTTCATATTGCCAGGGAGTGAAATTTTTCTTCCTGATCTCCTTGGGAGCAGTGATCATTTTTCTAAGTTTAAAAGCCTTTCCTATATGTGTGTAAAACTTTATCATCTTGAAATGTTAATGACCATTAAGCAGTTACGTACTTTTCATCCAAAGTACAGTTATGTTGTCTGAAATTTTCACTTTGTCAGATTTTAAAAGTGTTTAATCCAGTAAAAAAATGCAATAGAGATTCATATATTTGGAGAATTTTTATCATTATTTATGTTTATTATTTTTTATTTATTAATCAAATTTAGATAGCTGCCAAACTCATGGAAAGTGACTCTGGGCAGCACCAATAAACAATAAATACAGAATTATCATTGCCTAAAATCTTTATAGAAAATAATGAAGAAACATTAAAAACTCTAAAAGCAAAACTCAACAAGAAAAATAATAGACTGAGAGATATCAGTAATGGAGTCCCCAGGCCTGCTAGCCTAACTGGGTTTTAAGGGAATTCTGAAAGTTGAGAATTGATGAAGCTGACTTCATTGGTGGGTGGAAGGAAGAGAAAATTACACAATGCAGGAGCCATATCAAATAGGCCCACTCAGTGGTGGGATTCAAATATGTGAACAACCAGTTCTCTGCATGGATGCTGCTTCCGGAAGTTCATTCTGGGCCTGGGCAACAAAAAATTAGCTACCGGTTCTGCCAAAGTGGTGCAAACTGGCTAAATCCCACCACTGGGCCCACTATTTTGGGCCCACCAAATGTAGCTCCTTAGACAAAGGAACCGGTAGCATACTTGTTCCCTTAGATGTGAGATGGGCAGATGAAATCAAGAAAAGACAGTCCCTCAAATATCCTGACTCTATGTCATGTAGGACTTTAAAGGTCAACACTGGGAATTAGCATTCAAATATACATTATTTAGGAAGAAAGATTTTGCATACATTTCATGTTTTTAGGAATGAACTCACAAAAAGTGCATGGTATATACAAACATGTCCATAGAATGAAGGAATATGAAACCTCTGTGCATCACATCAATGGGAGTAATAGAAAAAGGTCTACCACAGAACCCAACCTACCTTCTATTGGCTCCTGATTCTGAGGGAAGGCATGGTTTTTCAAATTTTCAGGAGTTTTGGAACTCTTATGGAATTCTTCTAAGGTAAATCAGGAAGGCTGTTTTAGAAAGAGAGAAGCTGGTTTATTCTCATATTCCAAAGGAATCAAACCAGGCCTTCTGTTCATAGTTCAGTCTCAGACTCTGGCTTACCTTCCCCAGATAGCACTTCCAAATGCTCTCCACATTCCTGGCCTAGTTCAACAATAATTATAATTCTGGAGATTGGACAGAGAGGTCAGTTGAAATAGGCAGCATGTGTGGTGATAAAACAAAAAGAGTGTTCCCCGTTATAGTTTTTCGGCTCAACCCAATTTGAAAATGTGGTCCTCATCAAACTAAAAAAGAAATGCTTGGACCTCAACCTTAAAGCATCTGAAGTTACTCCTAAAAGTTAAATCATGTCATGAACATAATGTTTCTCTTGTTTGATTTTGTGCTCATTGTTTTAATTTGCTTGAATCCCTCAGATCACCATTCCAAAGAGAAAATCCTATTGCAGACAACTCACCATTTGTCTTCTGAAATATCTGAGAAGTCTTCTTCGTTTGAGAGCTGGAATCCTGCCTTTTCCCTGCCAGAATAGAATACTACTCTGTCTCCAAACTGCTTTGGCCTTCAATTAAAGTTTCCTGCTTTGCAAAGATTTTTATGAGTTCTTGCATTTAAAACTAAAATAAATAAAGCATTCTCGCTATTTTCAGCATTCAGAATGAAAGATTGTTGCTAATATGTATTTATAGGCACAGCCCTGGAGCCAATAGTGTAGAACTGGTTCCAAGAAAGGCAATGAGGTTGATCAACCAAGTTGATTATGAAAAGTGATCATGCATGAAAAGTTATGGAAGGACCTGGGCATGTTTAGCTTTGAGAAAATGTGGGAAAGCAGGAGGTCTCTTCAAGGAACTGAATGGGTGACACACGAAAGAAAATCAAGCTAACTTCCATCTTACCTCGGAGTGGAGGACACTGAATAAATAAATTGTAGTTACAAGAGGGCAAAACCTGGTTGTAGATTAGGAAAAAAATTCCTAACAAGAAGAGAAGTTTAACCAAATGGCAATATGGAAACAATTTCGTAATTTAAAGATATTCATTCTTTAAAAAAATAAGAAAAATAATAAAACTGTTTGGTATTTCTTCAGAAACAAAATTAAGAATGGAGAAAAAAGAAATGTATTTATATGAGAAACAATAGTTGTCGGTTTCCACCAGAAGATGACATCAAACATTTTTTTAGCTAGACACTATGAGGACTAGCTTTCCTCATCTGGAGGGACAATGGGGCAATTTGAATGGCATTATCACACCATCCAATTAAATAAGTATTGTGGCTGTTTCTTAAAGCATTGAGCATATTGGAACGATGCCAGCTCATGCAAGCCTGATGAATATTATGTAAAACAGTGTAAAAGTACATACCCACAAACGTACTTACTAGACTATTTCCTGTTAGAGTAAACACTGACCCACAAAGCACTGAAAAATAGTAAGCCCAAGAAATGAAGGAAAGGAAAGGAAACACACTCTACACATTTCTGTCGCTATAAACCAGCTTTGATGTCCACCCCCCCCCCATGTCATAAGTACCCTTATTCCCTTATTTTCCTTTTAAGGTTTTTATCAATTCCAGCCAACTAGAACTATTGTTCTTCATCCCCTTCCTCTCTGCCCATTGATTCTTCAATAAGATACTTGGTTTGGGATTTAATCCTCATTCATTCATTCTCCCTATGTGACCAAATTATCGCTCACTTCCATATTCACATTCATCAGCACCCATTCATTCTTGATTTTCTTCTTTTTCTGTTTTACTATACAGACTTCTCAAGCGAATGAAGGCAAATATACCAGTCCCAGGATAATGTTGTAGGCTCTAATCTGGGTCAGTCACCGGGACCAGAGGTTTAGTCTTCCCAGCTTTCAGACTCATGCTAGAGCCTACCCTAAGAGAACCTCTCTGAGGATGGGATCCCTCCGGAGTCTGAAAGCTCCTGAGACTAAACTTCTCAAGCATTTCAGTTTCCCTGAATTCAGCGTATGTTTATATTTCTCCAGATAAACCCAATTCTCTCTTCTAGAAACACTTTCTTGTACAAAGAAAAGATGAAGGGTGTCCAGAGAGTACAATAACATGCCTAAAACCTAAAAAATTACTTCAGGAAGAATGTATGAAACACTTTAGTACTTTGCAGGGTATGAGTATACTAAAATTTAAACCTAAGGAATAGAAACAAATAACTAATTAACAAAAATATTTTTGGCACAAGCATTTGAGGCATTAGCAGGACATTCACACTACTGTATTTTTTATTTTGGGCTGGTTGCAGTACATATTAAAATCCATTTTCACCAATAGAATTTGAAGAAAAAACATGCATCCTTCAATATTTTTCACTTAAAAGTTCATATTCTCTGTGAACCTTTATTTAAACATCTTCTAGTGATGTATATTTGTTCAATTGTTTCATCTGTGGAGACATCTGCTAGCAAGCTATCTTCATTTGTGTGTGTGTAGTTGTGTGTGTTTCTGTGTGATGAATCATTTAGTTATTAATTACAATTTACTTATTTAACTTTATATTTATATTTACACATTTAACTTCTGGTTTCTGCATGTAAGGAATTATTGTTATCTATATTGTTCTCTAAGAAGAGACTGGACAGCCATTTGTCTGAAATGGTATAGGGTTTCCTGCCTGAGCAGGGGGTTGGACTAGATGACCTCCAAGTTCTCTTCCAACTTTATTATTATTACTATTATTGTTATTATTATTATTATTATTGAAGTTTGGGTGAGTTTGGGGTGGGGGGAAAATGTGTTTTTAAGATCCTTTTAATGTAAATGGTTAAGGTATGTCTTGATAGTGAGACTGTGGAGTCACAAGGGATGACAGGCCCTTTAATCGGGTGCCTCCTCCCAATTAATAGGCTATTCAGAAACTAGATCCTCAAACATCCTGTTTCCTCAAGAAAACCCTGAATTCTTTGTGCAATACTTGATAAAGAATATCCTTGTGCCTTTGAGGCCTGCCAAGTCAGATCAAAAGTAAAGTGAGATGGGGGCAGGGCCAGCTGTCAAGAAGAACGGGTGTGCTGAACGATTCTCTAGATTGTCTGCCCTTGCTTCCGACTGTTTGATGGACCTTTTGGGGCCCCAGGTTCCTTGGAGGGGGACCAGAAAAAAAAAGGTGTCATGAGGAGCATTTCCTGACGGCGGTTGGGACTGGCGAACTCATGTGAAGCCTTGAAAAGTCGAGCGAAGGAAGGAGACAGCTGTTAATGGCAGCCGCAAAGAAATGACAGCTATCAGCTGGCCGAAAGGTAGCGGTGATATAGCGGGATGGAGACGTGACGGATTCAGTTAAAAGCAACCCGGGCAGTGATCTTGACGACCCAGCAGAAGGGATCTGGGTGAAAGAACCCACCGGAGGATTTCTAGAAAGGATTGAAGATCGAAGGTGCCCAGAAGAGAAGAGGAGAGAAAGTTTTTCTATTCCTTCCTCGTTTTTGAAATAATGGTGAACAAAAAGGTTTGGGCATAGAAGATTTGCCTGCACAGTGGAATTATTCTGGCTGGAGAAACTCAAAATGAAAAGGAGTTTCTCTTTTCTTTTCTTCAAGAAAGGAAAGTTTAATCTGGAGAGGCAAGTGCACTTCAAACTATAAAGTGAAAGTCTGGAAGAAGCTAAGGAGGTAGACATCTTGAATCAAGACTGCAGGCTGAATATTAGAGACAAATGCAAGAGAGACACCTGCTGGTTGAATAGAGAACAGCTCTAAGAAGGGGGGAAGGAAATAACAAAATTGTGACTTTAAAGTATACTCAGTTTTGTTTGTAAGTGTAAACTAGATATTTGAGCAAAAATCTCCAACCTCAAGATTTGAAAGAAACTATAGGGGAAAACTATATGAGAAAATTGTGAGTAGAGCAAGGGAGAAAAACTATATATATCCATCAAATTTTTTGAAATTATTGATATCTGTATTAACTATAGCTATTGTTAAGTTTATGGTGAATATTGATTGTTGTAAAATATAGGGTTAAGCATATTAATATTTGTATTTAACATATTTAATTGACAATTTATTACCATAGACAAAACGTAATATACTTAGCTTTAATTGTGATAACTTTGATATTTTGGAGAGAAATATAAAAACTGTAAATAAGTGGGGAGGTTGGTTTGAAGAGTTGAGAAAGATGAGAAGTATTCCCAATCTCACAAGAGTTGGAATAGGGAGGAAGCAGATTACATAAACCATAACAATTAAACCAAGCCTAGCAACGATCTCTGGAAGAAGTGACACAAAGAGCGAATTCATTTAGAGATTTCCAACTAATGTTGCAATCAATGCAAGAGGTAATGTGTAAAAATCATGAAGACCTAAAAAAAGAAATAGGGGAAATAAGAAACGATACAGGGGAACTTAAGGATAAGATAAAGTCAATGAATGGGAAATTTGAGTCTTTTCAACAACAGATTATGAAAAATGTTACTGGAAATGGAAGAAAGGATGGGAAAAAAAGAGCAGAGAGTAGATGAAATGAATGAGAGGTTAATCCAAGCTAACAGAGAATTGGAATCAACAGTTATTTCCCTGGAATTAGAGAAGGCTGCCCATTACCTACGGTTCCAAAACGTTAGAGAGACGAAAGGTGAAGATCTACCAGTAATGATGACAGACATACTAGCGGGGGCTTTACGGACCAACAAAGAAGAGATGGCAAATGAGATAGATAAGATCTATAGAATCCATACGAATTATGCAAGACAGCATAATCTCCCTAGAGAAGTCCACATTAGATTTGTTAAGAAATCGATCAGAGATGAAATACTATTTAGGACTAGAGACGATCCATTGGAATATCGAGGCAAACAACTAATTGTACTTAAGCAAGTACCTAGAAGGGTGAGGGATTTGAGAAGACCCTACCAACATATAAGCTCCAAATTGACGAGAAAAAATATTAATTTTAGATGGCTAATACCGGAAGGGATTTTGGTTGTGTGACAGGAGAAGAGGGTTCGACTAGATACAATAGATAAAGCAGAGGAATTTTATAGACAAAATTTTGGTAGTGAGGAGGAGTTAGTGGAAAGAGAGGCAAGAGAAGAAGGTGAGATATTAGCACAGGCCACAGAAGGAAAGGAATCACAAATTAAAGGCAAGAGAGCTGAGAAAGGAGAGGATATAGATAATGGAAAAGATGATGGAAAATATGATGACAATAGACCTACAGAAGTTAAAGAGGCTAGACCGACAATAATAACAAGATCCAAATATAGATAAAGAGGCAAAAAAAGGAGTTGAAATTATATCTCTGAATGTTAATGGTCTCAACTCTCCATTAAAAAGGAAAAAAAAATAAACAAACTTAGTAAGATGAATTTGTATATAATAATGCTACAAGAAGTTCACATAAAAAACAACATCAACATTTACTAATGTTCCCCAAACTGGGGAACATGTTCGCAGCACTTTCACAACACAAAAAAGGAGGAGTTGTAGTATATATCAAAGAGGAAATTTTGGCAAATCAAATTTATAAAGATGAAGATGGTAGAATTCTAATAATAGAAGTAATATTGAACAAAACAAAAATAGCCCTCGTGGGAATTTATGTCCCGAATGAAGGGCAGAATTTTTTTATAAAAAACTATATAGTATTATTAGTAAATTTGAATATGATAATATTTGTATAATGGGAGATTT